AAAGAAAGGAAAGGAAAGGAAAGGAAAGGAAAGGAAAGGAAAGGAAAGGAAAGGAAAGGAAAGGAAAGGAAAGGAAAGGAAAGAAAGAAAGAAAGAAAGAAAGAAAGAAAGAAAGAAAGAAAGAAAGAAAGAAAGAAAGAAAGAAAGAAAGAAAGAATAGATGAGATAAAGAGATGAGATAGATGAGACAGACAGACAGACAATCTAGGCCAGGGGTTGGCAACCTGTGGCTCTGAAGCCACATGCGGCTCATTTGGCCCTTTGCTGTGGCTCCCTGTTGGCTGATCCCATCACTGGCTGGCCCCTCCCCTTCCCGTCACTCCTCACCTGGCCTGACAAGGTAAGGGTGATGTTGGTGGATGGAGACTCGCTCCATATTCCGGAGTAAGAGGAACTGGGTGGGTGGGAGTGGCCTCGAGTTGGCCACACCCACCCAGTTACACCGGTTGTTAAATTATTGGCTCCCGGGGTTTTGTTTTCTGTGGGAAATGGGTCCAAATGGCTCTTGGAGTGTTTTAAGGTTGCAGACCCTTGATCTACTCCAACCCCGCACCCAGCCAAGCAGAAGACCCTATACCTTCCTTCCCCCTCATAAACCGGGCATTTAAATTTCCTGTGAATCTCACCTTTGGCAAGCTTTCTCCCGATAGTTAGCCAGAGTTTATTTGAAATCAGCTTTCTGCCTTCGCATGACCCACTGGAGAACCATCCGACAGTCTGCGCCAAAATGAGACCGTTGTCATGGATTTATTCATTTATATCACGCCTCTTATTACTTTTATAAATAACTCAGGGCGTCAGAACACACCTAATTTTGAACACACCTCAGGGCATCAGAACACACCTCGACTTTGCTCGTGCAAAGCAAATGGTGATCCCCTGACCCCGGGACACAGCAACCGTGGTAAATACATGCCAGCTGCCATGCCCAAATCTTAACTAGAAGAACAGATGAACAGAGTTGGAAGGGACCTTGTAGGTCATCTAGTCCAAACCCCCCCCCACCCGCCCAAGCAGGAAGACTTTACACCCGTGATGGTGAAGAGGCCCCAGCACGCATTGCTTTCTGGTGTGCTGGCACACGAGCGCACACAATTATTGGCACAGGAGCCGGAAAAGGTTTGCCACCACTGCCCTACACCATTTCTAGGGGTGATATGATGGCCGTCTTCCAATATTTGAGGGGCTGCTACAAAGGCACGGTGTAGGGTCTCCCGCTTGGGCGAGGGAGGGGGTTGGACTAGATGACCCACAAGGTCCCTTCCAACTCTGTTATTCTGTTATTAAAGAAGAGGGAAGGGAGGGGTCAATTTAATTCTCCAAAGCCCCTGAAGGCAGGACAAGAAGCAATGGATGGAAACTAACCCAGGAGAGAAGCAACTCGGAACTAAGGAGAAACTTCCTTATAATTAAATCAGTGGAAGGACTTGCCAGCAGAAGTTCTGGGTGCTCCATCACTGGAGGTCTTTGAGAAGAGATTTGTTTGAAGTGGTAAAGGGTTTTCCCTGCTTGAGCAGGGGGTTGGACTAGAAGACCTCCCAAGGTCCCTTCCAACCTTGTAATTCTCCAGCAAACTCTGGCTAAGTACAGCATGCAGCCCCAATGGGTGGAACTGCTGGGAGACTCTCCTGTATTTGAAAACTTAGAGGGGGAAAAAATAAACAAATGCTGTCTTCTCCTAAGTGGCCCAAGTCCCACACTTGGGATCCTGCACACCAGGGCTATCCAACCTGAAATGGGATAGTGTTTGACCAGGGGGGCTGGACTAGACGACCTCCAAGCTCCCTTCCAGCTCTATTCTGATTGACTGACCTAATAACAGATAATCAGAGTTGGAAGGGACCTTGTAGGTCATCTAGTCCAACCCGCTGCCCAAGCGGGAGACCCTACACCATTTCTGACAGATGGCAGTCCAATCTCTTCTTGAAGGTCTCAAGTGATGAAGCTCCCACAATTTCCAAGGGCAACTTCTGTTCCCTTGGTTGATTGTCAGAAAATGTCTCCTTGTCAGAGTGTTTGCAGTGTAACTACTATGATATTTTTTGATTATTCGTGTATAGATTGTCCATGCCAACAACTCTCCCAGGAATTATAACCAGTTAAACATCACAAAAATACTATATATATATATTTATAAAGAAACAGGTCCCTAAAACCACAAACCATTTTCTGGATTCATGTAATAGGAAAACCAATTGCAGAGTCTTTGTTTTTTGTTTGCAACCTGTAAGCTATTTGTTACAGGAAGTAGAAGAAGAGGACGGGAGTGGCAAGATGGAAGGGTTCAATAAATTATATATTTTAACTAATAGAGGATAATATTTGTAGCTCGGAGTTGAACTGTAGGGTCCTTGATGCTCTCTGTAAGAAAATAACCAGGCTCTAATCCAAGGGTCTTCAAACTTGGCAAGTTTAAGACTTGTGGACTTCAACTCCCAGAATTCCTGACATGACTGGAGGAGGAATTCTGGGAATGGAAGTCAAGTTTTAAAGCTGTCAAGTTTGAAGACCCCTGAACAGTATCTATCTTCTA